ACTTACTATTACACGAATCAATGCCCCTTAAATGTGCTAAATATATCAACCGTGTATATTAATTCGTAGAACTGATGGCACTTTCCTGCTTCATGTTCAGTACATTCTCAAGGTTGGCCAAGGTTCAGCGGCCCAGTGCATCAGTGGCTTTACTGCTATGGATATACCCCCTCCTCGTGGACCTCTTTGGTATATTATTTTCTAATCAGACCTTCTTAAGGATTCTAGAACTAGTTTTGCTTGCTTTAACGCCTTATCCATGATCATGGATGGTCATAATGTTCCTTTAAATCTCACTTATTGATCTTTCCACAATCCAGGATACTGGGAGATGTTTTCATGGGACGCTACCATACTGTCTTTGATTCTGGAAAGCTTAGAGTTGGATTTGCCGAGGCAGCGTAAAGGATTTGTCTTTGGGGTCCTTGTCTCAAATTCCTCCCCTTTATCAACTAATATGTAATGTATGGACTCACTGGCGAATATGAAAGTGCTGGCCGCGGCTTTAAATAAGTAGTTTTTCTTGTAGATATTTGCTTGCTTGCTTCCTTCTTTCAAGTTTTAGTAGCAGAGATTGATGCAGTAGAAAGTGACATGAAGTGAATGTGGGTTCAGGTTCCGTGTGCCTTCCCCCCCTTAATCCATGCAGTTATCTGAGCTCTTGTCCAGGTTATTCCATAATCTATCCTAAGCATAGAGGGCAAGGAATAAATGGCCTTAAGACAGTTAGGTTAAATTTAAATCGATATATTTCCAGCGGGCTCTTGGAAATGACTACTGGTTTTCTGGCATAAATATAATATCTTTGATTTACAGGCCCATTGATTTCGAAAGTTTAATCTGTTCAGGTTTAGGTTGGTATCAGACTCTGGCTTCTAGTCTTCTCTCTAGTAATAATCTTTCTAGTTTTTCATCACGAGGACAGTTGTTTCTTTGTTTTTTTGGCTTTCCTAGTTTCACCAGAGATGTTAAAGCATGAATATAGCTTTGTGGGGGCATGGAAAGTTAGTCTAGTTTATGGGAAATGCCATTCCATTACTGATAATAGCTCCACTCAATAATGGCATTGCAAGAACTTAAAATGGAACTCTCCACTTGAGAGCTATTATAACCATCTGCACTAAATGTTGATTTCGTAGTATGTTTGGTCAGTAGTGGTTTATGTTCATTTTGCCTGTGTTTGGTGAATATTCATCAGACTAGGTCTAGACCGTCAGACCAGGTCCAGACGGACTTGGAAAAGGGTTTAGGTTAATGAGTTTTTACGGACTGGGTTAATATTAATTTGGGTGAAGTCTCGAGTTATGAGTTTTCTAGGTTAAATAACCGGGCTGGATTTGGTGGTTTAATAACTATGGTTTGGTGTGTATTGAACTATCGGCTGGATTCTTGTCCTATGCCCGATCTCTTCCTCCATCAACATTCGAGCCGAGACAGCATGTGTTTGGTGTGTATTGAACTATCAGCTGGATTCTTGTCCTATGTCCGATCTCTTCCTCCATCAACATTCGAGCCTTGCTCGCTAAACATGTCACAAGAATTTCCATGTATTCGAGTGTTGTTTGCTCACCAAACACGTCTCATGAACTTCTTTATAGAATAGGGATGAGCTCGCGTGTCCTTCAATGCTCTTCCTGGCTTGCTGCTCCCAATCAAGCAAATCATGCCACTTTTCATTTACACATATTGTCTGGTCACCAAAGCACTGATTGTCCGCACGCGTGCTGCCTCCCCAACTGCCAGTTCTGATGGTCCTTTTCTTGGTAGTTAAGCACGAAAGAAACTGGCAGGTGAGGTTGAAAGTGAGGTAGAAAGACAAGACAGGCATGCAAAATATGTTTCTTAACAGTCTAAAGCACTTCCTGTAGTTATCGGATAGTCCAAGAGTGAAGACTAAGATCACTCTGTCAAAGAAACCGCACTGCCTTGCTATGGTCAATTATTGATAGAACCCTTTTTTTTTTTGATGATGCATGTTTAGTTTAATGATCGAAGGTAATTGCTCTACCAGTTTTTTTTTTTTTTTTGATGATGCATGTTTATTTTAATGATCGAAGGTAATTGCTCTACCAGATCTGGACAAATACATGGATATTCAATTCCTCGGTCAATGGTTGCTACTGGCTAAAAGGCAATGGCACAACCCAACAACGGACAACAGGCACTGATGTAACTCCTTGATTTTTGTAATGAAAAACCTGAAAGCATAAAAAATGTCATCCCACTCCTGGAAGGGCAGGTAGCAACATAGTAGGTGGATGTCACCATGGTTCCAGTACCTTATAACACGTTTTCTGAATTTAATTTAATTTAAGGATTTAAATGAAAATTCATGTTTGAAATCTCTTTAAATATCAAGAATTGGATTTTAAAAGAAATTTAATTTCTAAAATAATAAAAAATAAATTAGAATGTCAACTCTTTTAATTTACAATTATAAAACTAGTCTTCTCAAAGTAATATTATTTTTAAATAAAAGTTATAAACAAAGTAATAAAAGCGAGTTAACTCATCTTATCTTCTCCGGTGATTGTTGAGGCCTGCGATCTATTTATGTCATAATACACAGAATATATCTAAACAGCTCAGACAATTAGCTTTTTGTTTCATCTCCTAGCAGGAATTTTATTCTTTTGCTAGCTTTTTCTCACTTTTTTTTCCGCCAGAAAGCATGGAATGATACTAAAGACAGCCGCCGGCTGTCCTGAAAACTTGTCAGCACATAGAAATTGCACCTGTGATCTTTGCTATTACAGTTGGTTGCTCTCTCGACAACTATCACTCTGCCAGCGAGCCCCTCTTAATCCCCTCTAGTTTTTTCCTGTTATAATCTTGTAATATACGCCTCATCCATTTCTTTTCCAATAAAAATATACATGTGATAAAAACAAAAATTGGAGATGTATAACCATCTAGGTGGTGGTCAAGTGGTAAAGACTTGGGACTAAGGGGTTTGCTCCCTCTGTGATCTCAGGTTCAAGTCCTTGGTTGCTCATATAATGGTCACTGGAGGCTTACATGATCGTTAACTTCAGAACCCGTGGGATTAGTCGTGGTGCGCACAAGCTGGCCCGGACACTCATGTTAATCTAAAAAAAAAAAGAAGAAGAACTGGAGATGTATTAAATTAATCGTATCGATAAGATATCAATAATAGTTAAACTGTTAGATTTAAACTTACCGACTTTTTGTCATAATCTAATTCAATTCACGATTTTAATGATATCAACTCACCCTCTCCATTAATCTATGAAATAAATCCCAGTGAGAGTGTATATCCTTATGCATAAAATAGTGAATTTCACATGAAATGTTTTTTCCTTGCATGTGAAGGAAAGCAATCAAAATCTAACTTTGTGAGTTCCAAGTATGAATGAGGTTGCAAAGGGCTGCTAGGAAGAGTCCAAAGCATGGCATCATCCTGAACAGCTACAACGTCTCTTCAAGATACTCGAATGTATCCTTGCTGTGTAAGGATCTTTCACTCCACTTTATGTAACTTTAATTTACACCCATCATCCATTCATCAGAACTAAAATGAAGAGTTTGATCTTTACTTTGAGAAGAACACGTACGTTAGACAAATGCACAGACAACTCATGGGTCCCAAACCCTTTACCGAAAGCCAAAGTATAAGAGCTGAAAGGAAGAGATATATTGAAGCCAAGGGATTGGTGGTTGGCACATGAAGAAAGCAACTTAACAGTTTGTGTTCCTTGGAAGGAACGTATGATGGATACCATAAGAGTGCACAAAGCAAGGACTCATCCTCCTAAAAGGTATCCCCGTAAAGAGAAAATATCATAGCCAATCAATAATTTATATATATAAATTTTAATTCAAGATATAATTGAACTTAAGTTTTAAATTTCTTTTTAAAAAATCATTAATTTAAATATCACAAACCTAGAGCTACTAGAATTTACCTTATCGTTCAGTTTAAAGTCTCAAAAAATAAATTGGAGTGTGCATAAATTAATCCAAACACTTACTATTATTAAAAAAAAAACCTTGTCGTAAATTAATCAGTTATTAATAAATTGTTCTAATATATTCACGTATACTGAGAAAATTCAAGAGAATTTAGATATAATTAATATGTGTGTTTTTAGTATTACATATCATTTGGAGTTTGATTTGACAAAAAGTTTTTAATCTAGGTATAATAGTGATTATTTTCTCAGGTCTTATTCAAATTATACTTCACATTTTAATACGAGAAACATCCATTAAACTCAAATCAATACCATTATCATCGAGAATCATTAATTTCAAGAGCAACCATCTCGATCCAATAATAGCTCCCTTCCATGCTCACTATCTTTGCTCATAAATGATTGCTAGCTGGAAGAATATTCCTTGACCAAATTAATTAGCATTGGATCCATGAACGTGGAGAAAGTCATTACAAAATAAAACCCTAATTATATTGACTTTTACTGCAAATTAATTATGACACTCCAACTTATAACTAATATTTATCTAGCTAGGTTCAAGGTATCAATAACATGGCATTATTGGAGGTTTTCCTTCTCATTGTCTATTACCATTAGAGAGACTTCAGTTTCAAAGTCAATAATTAACAATGGAGATTAAGCTTAAATCCACTGATCTATCCAACCACCTCTTATCGCCCAATCAACCTCTCTGAAGAATAGAATATCCCGTGCAATTGTGCCATATCCATTGTATGATCCCACACTCGTTCACAACGATGGAATTACCACAAATCATGCACGTTCTCACGTGGTGTCTCGTGAACAAAGCATATTGCGTAGCTAAGCTAAGCTAAGCTCAGCGTCAGGATTAAGCAATTGGCCTTCAAAAGCCGGCCAAAGCTTGCAACCCACCCGCTTCTCGACACGTGGAAGCGTCTATGTCTTGTTTAGAGAGAGAGAGAGAAACGGCGGCCGCCCATTGGCCACAAAATAAATATGCTAAAATAAAGTTTAATGAAGAAAGCCATGTTTCTTGCATTAAAGCCAAACGTACCAAACCAGACGCTTAAACTACTGTTTGCATATGTGCTGTGTGTGTGTGTGTGTGTGTATATATATATAATATAACTACCAATGCAGACAATTCAGCAAGCATAATACACATTCTTTAAATTTTGCCACACCCCCCCACCTTTCTCTCCAAAATGGACTGGACTAGAGGCCAAACCATTGGCCATGGCTCCTCGGCCACCGTCTCGATGGCCAAGGCCAGCCAGTCCGGTCAAGTCTTTGCGGTTAAGTCAGCTGAGCTATTGAAATCGGAGTCTCTCCAAAGAGAGCAAAGTATTCTTTCAACATTGAAGTGTCCACAAATTGTGGTGTACAAGGGGTGTGACATTACTAACGAGAATGGTAAGTTGTTCTATAATCTTTTCTTGGAGTACATATCCGGTGGCACGCTTATCGATGCGATTCGGGAGGGCGGAGGCTGTCTCGACGAGGCTATGATCAGATTGTATGCCCGGACGATTTTGCTTGGCCTTGAGTACCTTCATTGCAATGGTATAGTGCATTGTGACATTAAGGGTCATAATATTTTGGTCACCGGTGATGGGGCAAAAATTGCTGACTTGGGTTGCGCTAAGCGGGTTGATGAGGTGTCGGGGGATGACTTGAATACGACAGCTCCAATTGCAGGCACTCCGCTTTACATGGCACCTGAGGTGGCGCGTGGGGAGCACCAAGGGTTCCCAGCTGATATCTGGTCTGTCGGGTGCACCGTTGTTGAGATGGCTACCGGACAAGCTCCATGGGTAGATGTCTCAGACCCAGTTTCAGCCCTTTACCAAATTGGGTTTTCAGGTAACGTGCCAGAGATTCCAAGCTTCATGTCTAAGCAAGCCAAGGACTTTTTGAGCAAGTGCCTGAAGAGGGACCCAGGAGAAAGGTGGTCAGCCAGTGAATTGCTCAAACATGACTTCATTACCGAGGAGCCAAATTCTGCTTTCAAGGAGATTATTAGCAGCACAAATTTAGACACTCCAACATGTGTACTGGATCAAGTCTTATGGGACTCGATAGAGGAGTTAGAGACAACTTGGGATTTATCCCATGAAAGCCCTTCGGTCTCTCCAGTTGAAAGAATCAAGCAATTGACTGAAGGCAATGGAGAAGTGCCCAATTGGTCATGGGATGATAATTGGATCACGGTAAGAAGCAACGAACAAGAAACAGTTCCTTGTAGTGAGGATTATAACTTGGCGTATGCCAATGGCCACGTCGGCCATGGTGGGGCAGAGACAGCTTGGGCTAGCATGGAATATGACTTCGTCTTCTTTCTTAATGAACCCACGTGTATCAGTGGTAATAACACTAGCAGTAGTGGTAGTTGTGGCGAAGGTAGCAGGCATAAAATATTATTGATGCCTTGTGAATGTAGAAAAGGTACTTTATGTGGCAGTTCATATTTTTTGAAGGAAATAAACTTCGGTTTTCTACATGGCAATGCTTGCACATGGTTGATAAAAATACATATTTCCTCATAAATCACAGTTGTTAAATTTAGCTCCATAGTTGATCTGAGAAATTTGAAATCCAAACCTACTCAAGCTAATTTTTTTATTGAATAGGATAAAATAATAATTTGATTGATTTTTTTAATAATTTGATTAGTATAGTCAAATCCTATAAAATTAATATCAATAAAAAAAAAATTAAATAATGTTGGTGTAATGAGAACGACATTTACATAGGTTATTTCCAACTAAAAACTTAATTAATCAAGTCCGAGTGAATTGATTTCGTGTATCTTATTTTTTGTTATTTTCTAATTATCCCCTTTAATAAATCAATTTCTTTTTAAAAAATAAAAAGTCTGAGTGAATTGAAATAGTTTAATTGATTTGTAAAATTGATTATACCATTAATTATTATAAATTTATTAGTGATTATTATTGTAAATTATAAGCTATCTCTTTCCCATATGCAAATTGGAACACCATTGACATTTGTCGCAGCCCACCATGAAAAGCTAGCTAATTAGCTCTTTCAATGCATTTATTCTCTTGCTTCTCCGACTTGCCAGATATCAGTAATAGGGCACTTGGTGGTTGCAAGGACAGCATCACAGGTGAGGTGGAAAGAAAGTGCTATCTGCATTTTTTCCCCTAGGCATCGTACATTACTTAGTGCTCTTTGTTACACTTTCTCAGCGTTTATCAGGTGGGAATAGCTTTCCTGCATTGTTGAGGCCTGTATTCTTGTTCTTTGCTGCACCAAGCACGGCAAGTTTAGCTTGAACTCCATTTCTGGAGCTTTTTAATACTGCCTCAAAGATGCTGTCCTTTCTTCGTTCCAATTCATGCCTCTGGCAAGCTACGTTCAAAACTAGGGCTGTGACAATACCATATTTGTCCTGTGTGATGAAAAGTTTGCTTCAAATCTAATTTATCATTCTCTATGCTGTGTAACAGGCTTGTAGGCCAGTTCTTTTCAAGAAATCAATGAGAAAATTGACGGTTGCGTGGTGGGCTTATTCATCCACATTAACACTCCTGGCATCCGTTTCTGCTGAATATGCTAACGAGGTTAAAGGTCCTATAGCAACAGCAAAAGATGCTTGTTTTATCTGCACTATCAGTTCCGATCTTCCTTGGCTTGATGGTACTCGCCGTTATAAACACTGATAGGGATCTCCGTGAAACTGATCCTGCGCTCAATTGTAAATACTGATAATTTTTCCAGTATTTCAAAAACAATAACTTGAGGTTAAATTAATCATTGTCAATTGTAAACACAAATCATAATTACAGATCAAAGTTTGAGTCACACTTCTGTCAATTCATCACTGGCCTCAAAAAAGTTAGCCCGATTCACCAGGACAAATATTCAGAAACAAGAGAATATCAGCAGTATTTGTTCTCTTTAACAAAAATCCATGTTGGGAAAAAAACATACCAGAATTACTGCTGACAAAATACATCCCTTCTTTTTCAGCGTCAAGCTCTACATTTGAATTGAACTTGACACAAAATGAGAACCTATTTTTACACTCCTTTTCTCTGCTTTTCAATGTGTCCTTTTTCTCCACACTTACAGGCTTACAACAATGCATGGATGGCAATTAACCCCTAACTATGAAACCCATCAAGAAAATCCCCAGTAATAGAATGAGAAAAAAAAAAAAAAAAACTGATGATAAAAAGGTTATTTGACAAGTGGGGCTCAGTTCCTCAAGTATTCTTCTTGCTAGTTGAACGTGAAAATCTCAAGTCCAGAGATTGCAACTGGCTCCTTAGGTTCTGGTTTTCTTCAAGCAAACGATCATACTCAAGAAGGAACCCTTCAGATTGCTTACTTAGAGCAATTGCATTGGCTTCTGATGTATTTACCTCCTTTGTCTTGATTTCCAATTCAGATTCCAGCTGTTGAAGTTTTTCTCGCAGTGTGGATGCCTCTGCTTCTAATGCTTTGGTCTCCTCAACCTTCCCATCCTCAAAACTTCGATTTTGTTTCTTTACATCCTCCATGGTCTTCCTCCTCACACGGAGTTCTCTAATATAATGGTGCAGTCGGTCTATCATTAGTCCAAGAAAAAGGATGGAACCTGCACATAGTTATCTCAAGTTTATACAAATTGAAGTGCGAAAAAGGTCTCTAGAAACAAGGAATTCTCAAAAGTAAATTGCGTAGTCTATCAACTCAAAAAAATAAAATACAATAAAATAAATGATTTAGAAACAGACAAGACTCACTTCTAAAAGTGCTACCCAGAAAAGATATATTTCTCAAGAGAAAGCACTTACACCACTCCCTCTATACACTATTTACAGAAATACGGTTTCCAACACTATATTCTAGAAGATTCCTGAACAAGTTCACTGGAAAGCTATTCTAAAAATACAAGAAAGAGATCGCATGGCATTACAGTCATTTTAAATTAAGGTAATAGTCATTCTGAGACTGCAGAAGTTCATAGCATGTTGAATATTACATCTTGCGTAACAAGGTTTCCTTTGCACAATTTACTGCCAGTAAATGGCGAGAGAGAAGAATCAGAAGAAGGATGATGCCAACCACCAAGTGTAAAAGTTTGATAACAGCAAATGTTCAGAAATGAAAACAGATACTTTAAGTTACAAAATTGGATTATGACCAAGGTGTTGCAAAGCATCTGAAGCACAGCATTCTGAAATGAAAAACTTATGGCTGAAAAACAGCATGTTGAATTTTATTATGACTGAGGTTGGACAGCATTCTGAAATGAATAGATATTGGAAGTTATATAACCCACCTTCAGCTTATAGTTATTTGCATTTATAACCATAATCAGTGTACAATAGACCAGAGCATGTATAATGGGGAAAAAAATTAGTACAGCTGAAGAGAACTCCATTGGTATTAGAAGATGCAATATTTGAAAGTACTTTTGCATATATATGATTCACGTTGTTCTAAGTTTGACATCCCAAGGAAACCATAGGTATGCAAGGCATGACACATGCATAGACCAGAGCACATATAATGGGGAAAAAGTTCATACAGCCGAAGAGAACTCCACTGGTATTAAAAGATGCCATACTTGGAAGTACTTTTACAGGTATACGATTAAGGATGTTCTGAGTTTGACATCTCAAGGGAACCATAGGTCTGCAGGGCATGACACATGGATAGAAAGGTACGATATCATTGCTTCAATATATAGAAGTGCTATAATGAGAAAGAAAGAAAAATCACCATGTATCGCTCTTTATTTAAAGTTTCCTAGTCACGGCATTCTTTTCTTTTTTTCTTCTAAAGGAAAGCACATTTTCTCCACCTTATGGCATTACTAAAGCATCAACGCAGAGTTCAACCATCTATAACTTGAAAAAGCAGAGGAACACGTGAAGACATCAATGCTATTCAAAATGATTTTCCTCATCAAATAAGTGTCACATGCTGTCTTTTAGAGCTTGATCACAGCAGTATAGACAGAATCACTTAATGGAAATGCATCGATGCCATTCAAAATGATTTTCCTCCATCAAATAAGTGTCACATGCTGTCTTTAAGAGCTTGATCACAACAATAAAGAAAGAATCACTTAATGGACAATCTCCAGAAATCATGAGCAAAGAGGTCCAAATCCAAAGTCCTCCCTTGATCTAACAAGGAAAAACATAATATTTGGACTCCATTTGCTAAAGGTCAATCAAAATTCAGACATTGGAGTTATGCAACTCAAGATATTCTTTTCTTCCGTAGCACTAATTGCTTGATGATTTATCTTCCATAATGATGGTGGATAAAATGCTATCTTTCTAAATTCTAAAAAACCTAGCTAATAATAAAGATGGTCAAATCAAATGCCTCATTCATCACATCATTCAACATGCATGATTTGAAGCAAGAAAAAAAAAAAAAAACTCAATTTCACAATCAAAATTCAAGAACAAATCTCGAATTTAGGTATCATTCTTCAGCATTATATCATTCTTCAGCGTTATATCATTCTTCAGCGCTAACAATGGATCTAAGATATTTCCAATCCAAAATGAAATAGCAATTTTTCTCATCAAATCATGAGTAGAACAGATAAATTATCAGCCCCACCAAACCAATCACAAACATATCAACGAAATCAAATCTTCAGCAGACAATCCAATCACATTACATTAACCCCACAAAGCTGAAAACTTTAACAAAACAAAAAAAACATAAAACCAAAAATAACTCAAGAAACCAAGAATTGTTACCCATAAGAGTAGCCTCCAGCAGATGTTTAGCCAGAAGAACCTGGTCTGTAGGATTAACAGCACCGCCATCATCGATCCAGCGTTTCTGGATCTTCACCATACTATAAACACTTGACATTAAAACCACAAACACTGTCCCTGCAACTGTCTTAACCATGACTGGTCCCCGCCCTCTCTTGACCCGATCCAAGCTCATTATCAACAACTTCCTTAATGGGGTCTTGAAAACAAATAACAATATCATTGCCATCTCTGAAAATATCACTGTAAACAAAAGCTGAATCATTTTTTGGAGTTCTTTTCTAGTAAAGGTTGAGTCTTTTGTGTTAAATTTTAAAAAGATTGAATCTTTTGGGTGTCCAGGATCAAGAGTTTTTTGGGTTTGAGGTTATTTATAGCAATGAAGATGATGATCAAAGAAAGGTTACAGAGATCACGTAAAAGAAGAGGTTTTTATTGAATGGAATGGAGAAAGAGACGGTGGGTTTTCTATTTCTTAGTATTGATGAGAATAATTTTGAAGTCTCCTTTGAAATGTCTTTTCTTTTATTGATATGTGAAGGTAGAAATTTATATAGTCCTTTATCTTTTGAATTTAGTCAAATTAATCCTTTACTCTGAATCGAGACACATAAATCCTTCCAATATGAGAGTGTTTCATTTTAGGGTTCCTACTACTTATAATTAGATTTAAGGTATAATATCTCTATGACGAAAAGATTACGCAAATATCACAAGTAAAAATATAAATTCAAGCCATTAACACTTCATAGTAAGGTCTTTTGAATAATATTTAGTTAAATCAACTTTTTATTTCTAGATCAAATTAAATTATTTATTTTTATTTATTAAAAACAGAAATTCTCAATATAAATCTACATGCACAATATTTGCATATTGACAGATAAGTGCTATGTCCAAGGCTTTGATATACCTTTATATATATATATATATATTAAAATTAAAATGAATTGATTGATTTAACAATTAAAAAAAATGTATTTTGAATTGATTTAAAACAAAGCCATGAATCATTTGTGCAACTGACTCAATAAAAAATGACTTGAAATTCAATTAAATTTAAAATCAAAGTAATCAAGAATCATATTACACCAAGTTCAACCAAGTAACGTCAACTTGTCATGTGTTTTTTCATAAAAAACAAAAAAATAAAATATTTCTAGATAATGTTGAACCAAATCCTAATCCAATTGAATTGAGGAACTATTGATTGAATTGAATCAAGTAGCTAATGAATCGGCACATTAAAAATTCAAGCTCTAATTTAATTATGATACAAAATACAAAAAAAAAATTTCTAGATAATACTGAACCGGATCTGATTCCAATTGAATTGAATCAACTAGCTAATGAATTGAATGTTTCATTATAGATGGGCATTAATAGATCAATTTAATATAAAGTGTAAACTTAAAGAAAGAGGATCAAATTGACTAAAATATTTAAGATATGTGATTTGATTAAATGTTAAAATGTGATGGACTGACTGCCTGCGATTTTTGTACCAAACAATTTAATTACATGTTTTTTACTCATAAGAATTCCCCGCTGGAACATGAAAAAATGATTGTCCTTTTTCCTTCACTACAATGGTTTCCTTCCTTTTATTGTGCGCACCCCACTACCCTTCTTCAACGTTTCTTGCATTTAACTTATAATCTAAGAGTTCCTTTTTTTTTTTTTTTTTCAACGCCAATTTATACCATTACGCTAAGCCGCAAATTAATTTTTTTTTTCTAGAGAACTGTTTGATTTTTTTTTTTAAACTTAGACTAGCATATTAGTTTTAAAATCTCTTGACTTGTTGTTTTGATCTATTTAAAATTAAATTATATAAAAATTAAAATAATATAATTTTATAAATTTGATAAGTTTTAAAATAACATGAAAAATAATAAAAATATAATTTTATTTTAAAAAAATTAAAA